ATGCCCCGCTCATCCCCTCGCCTATCGTTTAGCCACTGTGAGGTAGCGACTCCACTAGGCACACAGAACATGTCTGAACTAATTGTACAGATTACTACACTTTTGTACAGAATTACAGATCCCATCCCACCGCATGCTATCGCTCCAGAAATTCTTGTTTATCCTTGTCTTCTACGATGAGAACCGACCCGCCCGACCGGATCCGATGAAAAAATGTTTGCTACGGTCGGTGAATCCCATGGACGTATATGGGGAATCCGCATTCCTCAACAATAACAACGGGTTGCGAGTATTGATTTTTCCTTCGGTTCCTTGCGGAAGAGAGAAGAACATATTATGATCTCTCACTCAGTTGGGTTCCTACTCCGTGGCGTTTTTTTAAATACCCTTGTGAATAACTTGTCATACACTTTGCCTTGACCAATATATTTGTATATCTGGAAAAACATCTCACGCCTTTTTCGTTGATTATTTTTTTCACTCAATTTGTATTCATATTAAAAATTTGTATTAATAACACATTACAAAATATTGATAATATAATCAATCTGAATCGGATAATTTCTCATCAGTAGATAGAAAATAAATAGTCAGATATTATCTTTGAATTTTTGATTGTTAATGGTTCACTATAAAAATGAAATAAAATACATCATCTATAATAGGCATAATATACAGAGTGAGTCATAACTATTGGAACATATATAGAATTCATTTATTTATTGGATTACAAGAGTTGAAGCTGCAAGCTTATGAACCATTTTTTACAGTATCTAGTTGTTGAAAAATATGAATTCCTTTTTGGTATATTTGAAGAGATAAAAACAAAATCATCAGAAAACAGCTACACATTTCCAGTCTATATGCAGCTACATTTCCAGTCTATATGCCACGATATAAAATCATGAAATCGGCGTTGATATGTTGTGATACCAGTAAAACTTTTTCTGAGTAGAATCGATTTTGCCGCTTCAGAACAACGGAGTACAGACTACGGACCGCTCAGAATCTCTGCCCTAACAACACAGGGATGTTCTAGAGGTACGTACCATAGATTAACGAATGTACGTGCCCTTTTTGTCACACGGTACAATAAGGACATAATTGGGGTATCCAGGGGATGTCCCGCAGTGGCCGCAGTGGTTGTCCAGTGGACATCCGGCCCGGTACATCCATAGGTTATCCTATTCGTGTCCCTGGAATATCTGATATCTATTCACATCAGAATCATAGACTTTCATCAAAATATTGAGTTGAATTTTTATGAAAATGTTTGATTTTTTTCCGGTAAATAATTGTAATGAAAATAAAGAAAATTGTCTCACTTTTCAAGAAACTACCATTTTTTGCAAACAGAAATCGTAAGTGCATAATGCCCCTCATTTTTATACATCCACGAATGATAATAATTATACCCAAATCCTAACAAAGTTGTATTTATTCAGGTTTCTGCAGTTTAGTCCTGTTTGAAAATCGATGTTTGGTACATAAATCTTCAGAAGGCATATCAGCCAATGGGGTAAGGTGCGTGCCTTAATTAAGCTAAAGGTCCCGGGTTCAAACCCTACTCGACCTACATTTTTTTTCTTTTGTCGAAGGGATGTCCCTGGAATATCCTTGGGACCTCCTAGGGATATCCTTTCTTCGTACTTGGTACATCCCAGGGACGTACCAGACGGAAATCCCTTGGATGCTTTTTTTGTCAGCCAGCTGATTTCTCTGGGACGTCCCTAGTATGTACTCTGTCCCGACAAAGGATATCTCTGGGATGTCCTTGTATAAAATTAAGGACGTCACTGGGAAGTCCTTAGGATGTACTTGTCTAGTTGGGGCGACAAACGACGGCTTGGCAGCCCTATCGCCGACAAACGCACCGAGTCGGCCGCCCCACAAAAGTCAAAGGAATTATCGGCAATACATAGGTCGGATCATATACCAGTATAAAATACTTTGGATTGATAGCGGTATAGAATTGTCACGCAATATGTTCCGCGTTTTTCATATGATAAATATCAGTAATTTCAATAATAAAAATTTCAAAAATTGTACATAGCTCTGACAAGAAAATGATTTGCGACAGTGAATTATAGTTTGATTTAGTTATTCGATATAATGAAATATGAAATTCCACTCAAACAGACCCATTTAGATTCAGTTCTAGGGTAAATACACTAAGGTGACAACACTGGTCCGTGTTCGTGAATTTCAATCAAATTTATGAGCAGCTTATATATTGATATCCGCTGACCAGTTTATTCCACAATCGCCAAAAATGGAAGCATTTATTGTTGAGACATTGAATTTTGTGATTCACTCCAATTCGATTTCTATAAACTTTTTCCATGATCTCACGTCCGTGATGCGCTCGTTAAAAGCACATCCAATACAACTATTACCAACAAATTCGAATTTACCGCCATATTAGCTAGAATCGTACTGATTGATGGTGGATTCGATATAAGCGTTCTGGATTATGGATTGTTTAATTGTTCCAAGTCACACGCCATCTGCATTCCAATAGATTCTCTTCGTAAGTGGCGCACCTGCCAGTCAAATTACGAAGTATTGCTCCGACATCGTTCGACACTATCGCCGCCACTATGTGAGATTTCGAACTATGGTACGCCATCTAGTTGTGAGATTTTTTCGGACCTCGTTTTGCCCCATAAGGTTGGGCATCTTCCCAGCGTAAGCGTAATATATCAATCAACGCTTAGATCTATGACAGTAGATGGAGATAACATGACTACAATAACATCATGTAATACCCTGCGGTTGTCTCTGGCTTGTGATTGGTCAGATTATATGTGATGAGTGAAATAGTCAGTGTGAGACCATGGGTATTTCAGATTTGTCAATCAATCTCAAAATATGTTGTTGCTGCAACCGACACAAAAAACCGACAGGAAAGCCTTCAAGATTCACATACTTGCCTGATCTGTATCTCATTTGTTATTCTCGGGTTGGATAACTTGTTTTTGAATAATCACGGCCAGCAATACTTTTTTGTCTCACACAATGATATTGTTTACCTATTGTCAATATGCTCATTATTTCACTAACCTTACATTTTTCACGTCTTTTTTCTATACCTGGCACTAGCGCGGGATCTGCTATTAGGGCTGACACCTGGTCCATACACAAATGGGTCACTCTGTGGTTGTATTTATATCGAAACTACGATTCGAACATCTTTATAAATTGAATGAACCTGATCTGTGAATTCAGGTAAAATCACACGAATTATTTATTGCATTCCATACATATGGCACGGCATCCACGTTTCAGCCATAGTATTGAATTCGTGCCTGTAGTATCTGATGACATGATTGACATGCTGTCAACACAAATTTTAATTGAGTGTAGTAGTCCGAGGTCTTGTTTCTATATTTACTCACTAATACTATTATAATAAAGGTATTTCTTATAATCTGCCAAGTGAGTCACATCGGTGGTTACTTCACATATTCATTTAAGTTAATTCTTTCGGTTGCAGACAAGATAGCATGTTTCATTCGGATCAGAAGTGACTTTGTTCGACTCGCAAATTTTGCTTTCGCTCGGCTACGCCTTGAAAATGCAAAATTCGCTCGTCAAACAAATGATATATCTATAGTGAATCGTAATTCCTATGAAACAGATGAAGAAATTTGATGTACTTCCGGTCAAACCGGAAGTGTCATATTTGGTCTGACACTACCCTAATAACACACAACGTCCTAGGGACGTCCCTATTTGGTACAATTCACGTTCTAATGTCCCAAACCAAAAATAAGTGTCCTTGGGACGTCCCATCCCGTACATCTCATGCAATGTCCGAGCAAGGATGTCCACGGGATGTCCCAGCTGGTACATCATTTCAAATGTCCTAGAAATAGCATCCCTTAGACGGCCCACGTGGTACATATTGTAGAATGTCCATGCAAGGACGTCCTTGGCATGTCCCTGATGGGTTATGATTTTAAACGATCCTCTAGGGACATCCATCGGATGTCCCGAGTAGTACATATTCTGGCATGACTTCAGATCTCATATAATGTCCCTTCTAGACAACCATGAAATGTCTCTGATGGTACATTCCTTCAAATATCTCTGCACAGACGCCCTTAATATTTCCAGGATCGTATAACAATCGAAATGTCCCTTAGGGACATCCTTCGAATGCCCCTTAGGGATATCCGTCGGATGTCCTAATTGGTACATGAACTGTACTCTTCCAATGTCCTCGAAATAACGTCCTATGGACGTCCCAGTCAGTACTTTCGATATGTTGTCCCTGCGAGGACGTTAACTTAGACCTCGCCGACGAATGATTGCTCGTAGGCTATAAGTACTCCTCGTCAATGTCCTTCACGTGAGTCTATTGGACATTCTTGGGAAACTTTTTGGGGACCTTCTACGGACCATATCAACTCAACTGGATGTCCTAATCAGTTATGCATGATCTGGTCCTAGAGGGACCCAGAAAAATTCAAATTCAAGAATAATTCGTACGTCCCTGGAACATCCTATGGACATCCAATTGATATCCCTTAGCGTTGCTGATGGGTTGTCCTATGGATGTCCTAAGGATGTGTCCTCTGTAGTGCTTGATGAGCAATACTGTAAGATTTAGGTATTCGATAGTCGTCCCATGGACATCCCTCAAGGACGTCCCTAGTTGGTCCTCAAGTGGGACATTTGTGCGTCCCACAGACGTCCAATGGACGTCCACGGTACCAAATTCGAACGTCCAATGGACGTCCTGAATGTCTCGACAGGACGTCCTAAGGATATCCACGGGACATAAGTGTGTTATTAGGGTAAGGACATTATACACTCATGAAATGGAATCGATGAACAAAATTTGGAACATCCATACAAAATAGCAACGATAATTCAGGGTGGTAAATCGGTTGTGGGTTACACGGTATACCAAGGTTCATACATGATACTCACTCTTCTTGGATACCCTGTAAAATGTGGTGGAAATGATGAATCAAAGTGTTACAGGAAGAATTATTTCAACGTCAGTTTATTTTCTCTTTCCTCCAACAGAAAATCAATTTCCATAAATATTTGAAAATCTTCACTTCAAGATATACAATGCACAATCTGATAACAATTGCAATGAAAATCACATCCAACATGAAATATTCGATCCACGATACATCCACAGTTGGACTCCTGAGATGTTTCGTCCCTTTATGCCTGAGGACGTACTCTATCCACCAGATCGCTCTGTCCAATGACTTCATGGGTTGGTCAACCCACAATGATGCCAATTTTTTCATGTTGTTTCTGTACCTGTGAAACAAATTCAGCAATTAGGAATTGAGTATATTCATTGTAGGATTCTTACAGGGTGGTCCTTCTAGCTAAAAGTATAGTAGATTCTTTGCTCAGATGAAATATTGAAATATGAGATATACAAGGGGAACGGGAAAATGTGGGAAATTTCGAAGATTCAGATAGTACCTGAAAAAATAAGACGACAAGTTCATATGAACATTGATCGTAACACGTTTCTTTTTCGAAATACAAGGCTCCAGAATCTTCATTCTTTCTAACTCCTGTTACGTGTGACCAAGTACGGGAAATCATTAATTCATTGAAAAATTCAGCTTGTCCTGATATCAATGGAATAAATAGTAAAATCATAAAAGAAACTCAGGACATAATTCTTTCCCCATTAACAATGTCAATTAATTTAGTTTTCTCGCCAGGTAAATTCCCAGATATTTTCAAATATGCAAAAGTAATACTTTTCTCAAAAAAGGAGACGAAGATTTAGTCGATAATTATAGGCCCATATCTATCATAAGTATTCTTTCAAAAATTATAGAAAAGCTAATAAAGAATAGACTCATCAAATATTTTGAAATCAACAATTTTTTTGTAGATATCAGTTTGGTTTTCGCGAGAATTGCTCAACCACCGATGCTGCTATGAGTGTTGTCGGAAGCATAGTTGAGGGTCTTGAGAATGGTAGGAGTTACACTATTGGACCTATCTAAGGCTTTTGACTGTGTTTCCCACAATATATTACTCGAAAAACTATCACATTATGGTGTTAGAGGAATTACTTTAGAACTAATAAAAACATACTTAAATAATCGTTTCCAGGCAGTTTTTTATAACAATGAATTTTCTGAGCTGAAACCAATTAACTTGGGTGTGCCTCAGGGATCGGTATTGGGTCCGCTGTTGTTTGTGATTTATATTAATGATCTCTACAACTATATGAAACCATGTCACAGTGTATTATTTGCTGACGATACATCCCTCATTTACTCCTCAAAAAATCTTTCATCTCTTGCTGATCAATCTGTCGAAATACAAGGAAAAGCCAACTATTGGCTTAGTGTTAATAAACTTATGATGAATAACGATAAATCACAAAACATGGTGATATCTACGGCTCAGCCATTACCTGAGTTCCAAACTGTTAAGTTATTGCGTTTCACCTTGGATAATAGGTTAAATTGGTCCAGCCACATTTTAGGTTTGAAAAGTAAATTATCGAGTGCTCTATTTTTACTTCGACAACTTAAACCTATAACTAATTTCACTATATTGAAAATAGTTTTTTGCTCACTAATTCAATCTCATATTTCTTATCGGATTCTACTATGGGGAAATTCTAGTGATGCCCAATGTATTTTCATATTACAAAAAAAAAGGCTCTGAGAATTCTTGTTGGAATCGGTTACAGAGATTCGTGTCGTGATTGATTCATAAATCACAAAATAATGTCAGTACCTTCAATGTATACTTATACGAGTATAGTAGAGATTCACAAAAAAGCTCCCCTGCTTCCTAAGCAATCCAGTTTGCATAATCACAATACACGCAACAGTGATCTTATTAGACCTCAACGTTACAAACTCAGCAAATCACAAAAAAAATCTCATGATCTCAGATTATATAATGCTCTTTCTGCCAGTATTAAAACTATGAATATGTTTTTTTTTCAAGAGAGTTATGAAAGATTATTTTGAAAAAAATTGCTTTTACTCGATTGCAGAATATCTGGCTCACGTTAGTGGCCACAATTTTGATACAAGGAACACATTTGCCGAACATCCACTCTTGAGGGAAACGTAAATGTGTATTTTGTTTTTGTTTTTGATTGTATATTATTCGTCTCTGATTGTATATTTTTTTGTCTTTTATTGTAATTTACCATTTTTTACATTCTTTTCACCAAAATGGAATCATTTAGGACTTGCTACAAATGTATGAATGTACATCAAGTAGTCAATAAAACTCTACTCTACTCTAAAAAAAAAAAAAGATATTGTAAATAATCGTGAAATTGATGTTTTGATAAATACCCTGTATCTGCTATCGTTACGGTAAAAGTTAGTGTGTCATGTGAATGAATTGTGACAATGTCGTTCATGTTTCTCATTTTCTCTATGTCCTCTAATCTACATTCCTACCATTCATTAACTAAAAATTGTTCTAAAATTGTTCTATCCGTCATCCGTCAACTTTCAAGATACATAATTTTACTAGGCAATGTGAGGATATTCTGGGAATATTCAAATATTCTGAAAATATTCGAATACTCTCGGAGACTATCTCATGAATGACATCGTGCTAGCTGGGCTAAGGAGATATAGTTTTCAGACTTACCTCGTATCTACAAGTTTCATTTTCAGAAATGAAGTTTATCGGTATTGAGAATATTACTTCACTGTGACCTACTCCTGTTATATAGGGTAATTAGGAAATATACCCGAGATAATGTTAAATTAGGAGATGCTGATGAATTTTTGAATATACTAAAGGTGGATTCATGCAAGCAAAATTTAAAATTTAAATGAATTTAAAACTTAAACCAATAATATAAAACTATGAAATGTAATGTAGGTGCTCATGCAAGAAACTAAAAAATTAAAACTAGAATTAAAACTAAGAAAGATGGCCAACATTCAACTAAGAAATTAATTTCTTCCATAATTCACGACAACGCATGCGCCAAATAGTAACTAGCCGCGCTGGAAAAAGAATAAACAGCTGATGAAAGGTTATTGCATGAACACCCATATATTTTTAATTTAAAATTCGTTTAAATCTTAGATTCATTATAATTTAGTTGATGTTGCATGAATCCACCTTAAATGCCAAATAGAAAATCGTTCGTATATATGACATTTGAATTTTCAGTGAAATTTGTCGAACGCCTATAGAAAACGCTAAACTTTTTCCAGGTACATACTCACTTGGGATTTTCTGCAACCTCAATTATTTTTTCCTTCACCTCCTCCTTAGTCATTGTGAGATAGTCAATTCCTAAAGCTACCTCGAATCCTTGCAATCTTTTGATATTCATAGTTTGGTCAGCAATAAATGGAATACCAACCATAGGCACTCCTCTTGAAACAGCCTCTTCAATCGATTGAAGTCCGCATTGGGTTAGAAAAACTTTGACATTAGGATGTGCTGAAACAGAAAATCTATCATCAATACCGCGGAAGTGGAATAAATGGATTATCAATAATAATATAATATAATAAAAATATATAGTTAATTGAAAAAGTACAGTTTTGTATAAAATTCAATATGGATTGAGAAATATAGTTTCAAACCGCAAAACTCACTAAGGCAAATTGCCTGTGCGTGAGTTGTTAAGATTTATATAATTTACATGGGTTTGTTCTATACTAATTCTAATTGTATTTCAATTTTAATTTTGATAACAATATGTAGATGAAGTGTAGTAAAAATGTATGAATACTGGGTTTGTGAATGAAATAATATAAGTAATAATATAATATATGCACAAATAAACATGAGACAGATAAAACATATAATATATTGATAGAGTGTCTATAGATATACGTAATGTAGATTAGATTAGATTTAGAATGGGGCCTTCGGGCTATCTGCCTCCACACCGCGACCTTTTCAGATCTATTGTGGCTGCCCTCAAAATCGATTAGAGTTCTTCGGCTAGCCCCGTCTTCTCTATGAGACTCCATAGGCTAGCTTTCAGATCCCCTGTGTATCTCTGGGCTTCTGGTTTTTCCTCACCCAGCGTAAGGAACCTTAGTCTTGACAAGCCCTCACAGTGGCAAAGTATGTGTACTGCTGTTTCCTCCTCTTCCTGACAGAACCTGCACAGCAGTTCCTCAGTCAGACCTATCGTACTCATGTGTTTGTTGAGCCTACAATGCCCTGTGAGAAGTCCCACTAGTATTCTAGTTGAACTTCGTTTCTGGCTTAGTAGATATTCTGTGAATGTTGGCGATGGTTTTTTAATAAACTCTTTTGCCTGTCTCATTCCTGGCGATTTGTTCCACCATTCTTGAGATTTGGTTTACATCCATGATTTGATACTAGTCTTTTGTATAGCTTCCGCAATACCACAGAAGGGTTCTGGGCCATTCAGAGCTTTGTTTGCTCCTGCTCGGGCAAGTGAGTCTGCCTCTTCATTGCCCTCGTACCCTGTATGTGCTGGTACCCATGCTAGAGTCAGTCTGTTCTGACTGCCCAGTGCATTTAGGGTTTCTAAGCAGTCCCATACTAGTTTTGAGTTAACTTGCATAGAGTCGACTGCTTTGATTGCCGCCTGGCTATCTGAATAGATTGCAATGGTTTTGCCTTTAAACTCTTGCCTTATCAATTCTTTCACGCAATGATGTATTGCAATAATTTCTGCCTGAAACACCGTCGCGTATTTACCTAAGCTCAGTGAGATTCTTGACTTTGGCTTGGTCCCATAAATACCAGCTCCTGATCCAAACTCAGTTTTGGAGCCGTCCGTATAGACAGCAATGTCTGCATTGATAGGAGGTCCTTCCTTCCATGCCTCTCTGTCCGTTATACTTATTTTAAAAGTTTTTTCAAAGCTATATTTTGGAATTATGCCATCCGTTGGCATTCCCATGATGGGGTCGCTTTCCAACTCTTCATATAGCTTTCTATAGTCTTTACCGTGCGCGTTGCTTATGGGTGCTTGACCCCTCGACAATCTACTCACGACTGCTCTGGCTTCGCCTTGAATATATATTTGTAGTGGTGGTAGGTTCAAGAGGACCTCTAAAGCGGCTGTTGGAGTGGTTTTCATTGCACCAGTGGCACTCAGGCAGGCTTGCCTTTGAATAGCACTGAGCCTTCGAATCACTCCAGCCTGTTGTGTCTTTGGCCACCAAACTACTGACCCATATGCTATCATAGGCCTGATGACGCTGGCATAGAGCCATGTGGTCATTTTTGGTTGCAGTCCCCAATTTTTCCCGCACATTCGTCTGCACAGATTGAAGGCTACTGTACTTTTTTGAACAATTTTTTGTGGGTGTTGATTCCATGTTAACTTATGGTCAAAGATGACTCCTAAGTATTTTGCCTCTAGGGCGAACGGAATTTCTACCCCGTTGAGTACTGGTGACTTTAATCCTTCCAGTACTCTCTTTTTCGTGAAATTCACTATAGTGGTTTTATGAGGGTTCACGGTGAGTTCCTCCTCTTTACACCAATTGTCAATTATGTTTAGAGCGTAATGTATAAAAATAAAAGGTTTATTGATGAAGGTGTGTTAATGATGTGAGATATAAGTGTCACGAATTTTTATCTTCGCATGTCTATTGTTTTGATGAGTTGATTTCTCGGATACTTTGCAATAAATTCATTAATTTTTTTTTGTAATTGGCGTATATTATCAAGTTCTGTTAGACCTTTGGGTAGAATCTGGAACATTCTTGGCGCTAAATAAGCAAAATTGCGATGGCCAACTGTTTTTGTAGAAAATGGAGTTTTGTAACAATTGCTTTGTTGCCTCGTATCATATTCATGGTTTAGAGATTGTAGATTTGATTTATTTCTGAATTGATATAACACAATGGTACGATAAAACAATTGCTTTATGTCGAATATCTTTGCTTCTGTATAGAGATTATCTGACAGATAGGTATGGGGTTTACTTGAGATCATTCTCTTGATGTTTTCTATGTGCTTATTCCATCTCAAATATTTATTTATAATAATTCCTAAATATTTGATATAGTCGGATCTTTTTATCACATGATTCTCATCAATTTTCAGAGTTTCATAGTCTGGTAAGTTCCTATTTATGCATGTGAATGTGATATATTCAGTTTTTTTCGAAGTTGATTGTCAGTAAATTATAATTTATAATCCATCAAATCTTTGAAAGATTTCATATCATTTTCAGCTCATTGGTCTTTGAGATCTTTCCAGCTATCAGCTTGATATAAAATGGCTGTATCGTCTGCGAAACTAATTATCTTCCCACGGCTATCCATTTTGAGTAGATTATTCATATAAATAGTGAATAATATGGGTCCCAGTACGGTTCCTTGTGGGACACCAAACTTAACTTCGGAAGCGTCACTTATACAGTTCCCTATTTTGATGTATTGTTGTCTGTTAGATGTATAGCTTTTAATCAGATTGAGCACGATACCCCTTAAACCAATGTCTTCCAAGGACTCTAATAATTGTGGGTGGCTTACCGCATCGGAGGCTTTGGCGAAGTCTATAAAAAACCGCACAAAGTTGGCTTGCTTCTATCTAATGACTCATAAATGTTTGAAACAAGAAGAGAAATCGCATCCTCAGTGGACTTGTTTGGCTGAAATCCAAACTGTCTATTCGAGATAATATTTTTATCTAACACATATTTCTCGAACCTCTGTTTGATAATTTTTTCCAAAATCTTTGCTATGTTTGAAATTATTGATACGGGTTTGTAGTTCACCATTTTAGTCATATCTCCGCTTTTACATATTGGCTTTATTATGGCTTCTTTGAGACTTTTGAGACATTCTCCCATTGAGATGGTTTGATTGATGAGCAAATATTTTTGCAGAGATGTTCGCAGCAAACTCTACTTTAGATTCCCAAGGAAAAGTGCCGCCAGACATTCCACCCGTTTAGAGTAGAATGCCCGAAATCGTCTTCCGTCAACGCACTATCAGATAAATTTTGCTTTGTCTCGAAACGAATAAGGCTAACGGTCCTGATGGAATTTCCACCCATTATCATGTGCACCAGAATTAACACCGAATCTCTGCAAGTTGTTTACCGTCTCGTACAGGTCGGGTATTTTTCCATCATACTGGAAGACAGCTAGAGTCCAACCAACCCCCAAAAACGGGAACAAGAACCTCCCCAACAATATTCACCTTATCAAATATCTGGAGAGCTCAGGAATCATCAATGATAGACAATACGGCTTTCGCCACCGAAGATCTACTGGAAATCTACTTGCCTACGTCACCCATTCATGGCATGCTTCATTAGAAAAACTCGGGCAATCTCTAGCTGTCGCGTTGGACATATCGAAAGCATTCGACCGTGTTTGGCACGAAGGACTTCTCCACAAACTATCATCATATACGGCTTACCACCTCAGCTATGCCATCTCTTAACGAGTTTTCTTTCAGGCAGATCGCTTCACGTGGTGGTGGACGGTGTATCGTCTGATACCATTGGCATCAATTCCGGCGTTCCACAAGGATCAATTTTGGCACCAACATTATTCCTTCTTTATATCAATGATCTGTTGGGAGTAACAACTTACCCCATCCGCATAGCTTTGCAGATGATCGTACTCTCCATACTGCGTTCTCTTCCAGAATTCCCATTTCTTCCCAGGAAACTAAGAACTCACGGAGCAGGCAGGTCAATGCTGTCAATGAAGACTTTGCTGAAATCACAGCCTAAGGAACCAACAACCTAGTTGAATTCAACGCCACCAAAACTCAAGCCTGTATTTTTTCTAGAAAGGCGGAACTCAGTATGCCCGATATTGTAATGTCTGACCAAGCCCACCATATCTATGCTCGGTATTTCCATCAGCAACACTCTTTCATGGGATAATCATGTCAGATCCAACAGTGTCTCATGATCTACAAAGCGCAGATACGGCCTGTTCTAGAATACTGTTCCCACATATGGGCACCAAAACATACGCTGATGCTCTTAGATTCCATCCAGAGAAGAGCCATCCGCCTGGTGGGTGACGCCACACTCACTCACTCTTTGACATCATTGGAACACCGTAGAAAGGTCGGCGACCTTTCACTTTTCTATCGATACTTCCATGGGAAATGTTCTTAGGAAATCTCTGCTATCATCCTTTCACTAGCAATACCAGTCAGACAAACTAGACAAGCCCAGTCAGCACATTCTTTCGTTGTCAACCTCGAAAGATGTCGAACAGCACTTTATCAGAACTCCCTCATCCATAGAACGGCTAGGCTCTGGAATTCATTGCCTGAGGAAGTATTGCCAACAACATATAATCTCCAAAAGGTCAAGAAAAATTCCAATACCTACCTCCTATCCCTATCCTATCCTATCCCTATCCCTAGGAACGCACGATGTTCTTTGAACATTATAGGGTTCAGAGATGTATATAGAGATATTTTTTTAGATTTCAGCCCTCAACCCGTCCAATCCAGGCGTTTTATTATTTTTTAACGTTTTTATGTTTTCGTCTACTTCATGTTTGTTGGTTGGTTCTATGAACATTGTATTAGTGGATGCGTCGAGGGTTTTGTTAATTTGTTAGCGAGTTTCTCTCCTACATTTCCATAATATTTGTTGAACTAATTGCTCATAATTGCGGGATCTGTTACTACCGTATTATCTTCTAGTTTTATTTCGTTAATTATAGTTTGTTTCTTTTGGCTATTACCTAGGACATCTTGTTGAGGCAGCAGTTTACGGATCATAACATTCTTCGGCTGGTTAGGTAGAGAGTCTGCTTCGAATTTCCACAACACTTGATAAGGGAGTTCTGCAAATGCCTCTATCAACGTATTCCTTACATGTTCAGGTATGTTTACACTTTTCACATTCGAACCCAAGCTGAAATAAATCACTCCTTCTTTGGCCTTATCCAAGAAATTTTGCAGGTCCTACAAAAAAAAACATGAATTTCCTGGCATGACAATGCAGTGTGGCCAAGTTGAATATATCGAAATCGGTAGGAGATACTAGATTGCCTCGAACATCTCAGTTCACGCCCTTCAACCCAGTCAACCTGTGAAGTAACAGTAAGTCGCAGGGAATACCAGGAGACCTATCATAGATGTACTGAGGATTTCGCTTTGTGCACGGAAAAAAAGTTTTGTTGCACCAACAAAATGATCTTGGTATCTCTCTTGTTGAATTAAACACAGTTTTGCGAAAGCGATTCAATAAATGTTCATTCCAAATAAGCGACTTATTCAAACAGACAAAATGATTTGATTGAAATATTTGCTTACTTGAACAAAAGTTTCATTTCATTCAACAACATTTATGGTTGACATATAACAAATTTTGTTGATCCAACTATCATCTCATTGTTCAATCAATAATATGCATCTTGGCTATTTGACAAAATTTGATCAATTTTGACAAAGATTCAACTAAGTACATCATCATATTTGGTTGATTCAACAATCAATAGAAGTTTTTTTTTCTATCCGACATTATGTCTAACAAATATTTTGTCGAATGATTAACTAGTTGCATTTTCGCCACCTTACTACGCTCGCCTTGAGTGGGATGTACTTATACCTACCTAGAACATCCGTTTATATAGTTAAATATTGAGCTCTCCTAGAATTTCTAATTACAGTTATACAAGCTAATAGTCTTGAATCAACTGTTAGTAATTGGATTTTTTCCTAATATTATTCAACAAAATATTTTGTCAATTCTAAATAGAATTATGTTGATCGAATGAGTTGTTTCATTGAATGAAAAACTATTTTGCTAAATTCAGAATATTTTATATAATATTATTTTAACATATTCACTCTCTGAAAATTTTGTCACTTGATTGAAATGATATGATCATTTAAATCAACAGAATCTGTTCATTAGAGCAGATATTGTATTATAGGAACAACATGGTCTTTTCTTATTCAACCAATTCCTGCTGTTAATTTGAATCATAAATGAGTTACATCAAATGAATTTTGTATTGGAAACCGACAAAAAAATTTGTTGCGGTGACAAAATATTTGGTTGTAGATATGACACTCAGATTTTGTTGAACTTAAAAAAAATTTGGATTTTCGAACTTTTTTTTTCTGTGTGAAAATGAACATCCACAAATGGTTAGCCTTGCGAGTTACCCAACTCAACTTCCTTAAAAATTTAATTCAATATTAAATCGAGTATTTTATATGAAGTGTGCATTGTTATTACTATATCACTAATCTCTGGCCATATTTTTCGAATATCGAATTTATTACATCAATAAAAATTGGAATGACCTATCTCGGAAACACTTTTTTGAACTATATTCAAGCAACTTCTTGAAGAAGACTCCCGCCAACTTTTCTGAGATATCCTATTTGATGACACGTCGTAACTACCCATTGATTACAACTAGGAAAAAGCCAAATAAAGTGGAATGCAATGGTAGGTTAGGTTAGGTTAGGTTCCATGTGAGTGGGGCGAACACCTCCCCTCCACTGCGACCCCAGATGGGTCTATTGTGGCTCACCCCTAGAGGTTACAGTTCATCGTACAATCCACATCTTTTTAAAAAGTTCATGGTTGAATTGGGTGAGATTTGTCTGAAATCGATAGGTTCTAGGTTGGTAAAGCCAAATGTGTCGAACCTTAGTCTTTCTAAGCTAGAGCATGAACATAATATGTGTTCAGCCGTTTCGTCTTCCACACAACAGAACCTACAGTCCGTTTGTTGGTTCAGGAGGTTTGCCATCGCTGCCGTTGGAGTAGAGGACATCGCCCCTGTAATGGCCAGGCACGCCAGCCGCTGGAGACCAGCAAGCTTTGCCCTGGCTGTTCCCTGCAGACCTTTAGTCCACCAGACTACCGAGCCATACGTGACCATTGGTTTTACCATTGTTTGGTAAATCCAGTAAATTTGTTTGGGGTTCATTCCCCATGATTTGCCGCATACCCTTCTGAGGTTCCAGAGGGAAAATCTGGCTTTGTTAATAGTTTTTGCCATATGGGCATTCCAGGTGAGTCTTTTATCTAGGGTGACCCCTAGATATTTCACCTCCGTCGCAAACGGAATGCTTTCTCCATATAGGACAGGCTGACGAAGATTATTGAGCTTTTGCCTTTTGGTAAAAGGGATGATTACAGTTTTCCGGGGGTTCACAGACATCTGCTCCCTCTCGCACCATCTGTACACAGTATTGAGGGCTTCTTGTAGGCCGTTTGAGATCGTCGCTTCAAATTTCCCCCTTACTATTAGGACGAGATCATCTGCATAGCATTGAAAATCCACCCCCTGCATGGAGAGATCGCTCAGCAGAGAGTCAACCAAAAATGACCACATAAGGGGGGAAAGTACCCCCCCCTGTGGACAACCTTTTGCCGCTCTAAACCTGATCGACCCTCCATGCAGTGATGATATGACGTACCGATTTCCAATCATGGTTTTGATCCAGTTGCATATTTGCCTGCTGATTCCTCTACCTTGCATTGCCATGTAGAGTGATTGTGGTAGGGCGTTATTGAACGCTCCTTCTATGTCTAGGAAGGCTGCCAGCGCAATTTCCTTATGATCTAAGGAATGGCTGATCTTTCCTACAAGATTGTTCATTGCTAAATCCGTTGATTTGCCTGTTTGGTAGGCATATTGATGGGGATTTAAGGGATGCTCCCTCAGATTCCCCTCTCTAATATGCCTGTCTAGAATTATTTCTAGAGTTTTTAATAGGAACGAGGTAAGGCTGATCGGTCGGAAGGATTTGCGTAGGGAATGATTCGCCGTACCCGATTTGTGTATATACACAACCCTCGCTGTTGCCAGCCTAACGGAATGTAGCTCCACGCCAAACTCGCTCTATATAATTTAACCAGGAGAGGTAGTAAAACTTCTCTACCCTTTTGTAAGAGGGCAGGAAAAACTCCGTCCTCTCCCGGGGACTTGAATGGGGAGAAACAATTCACCGCCCATTCCACTGACTCTGGGGTGACCACCATTGAGGCATTCTTCCAGTCCTCCTTTTTTGGTCGTATTATCGATCCCATTGGAAGTGGAATCTGCTGACGGTCCTCCAGGAACAGGCTGCCGGGAAAGTGAGTCTGTAGAAGAACCTCTAACAATGCAATGGTAACAAATAGAGAAAAACTCAAAGTCATTACCATAATAAGTCATGGAAACCATCCATTCTCAAAGTGGCCCAGTATTTTTCAAATGGAGAAAAAACAAAAACTCAAAGTCGGTCGACCACAAAATTTAATAAAAGGAGTGACTATAGTTTCGGCTCAACGGCCATCTTCAGACACAATGTAAAAAAGTACCTAGAAAATTACAAGTTGTTAAATCTAGACAATATGGTGGCTGCGAAAGAACATACCTTATGGAGAAAAGTATACTAATTAAAAACTAACTAGTAGGTCAGCATCGAATCATCCGTCCAAATTGGAACTAGTAAAATTTAAAACGGCTGAAAAGCCAAAAGAACATTACGATGAGTAAGTTCAACATTAAAAAATTCAAAAAATTTTTGATTAATTAATCAACTCAACGGAGCTTCATCAGCGGTCAGGCCATCAAAGGAAAGACAACGCCGTAGGTGAAATGGAAGTGATGATTTGACATTGACATCACAAAATGACAATTTCAAAGTCAGCGTAAAACATTTTGAATGACAGTCAAACATATGAAAGATGAGTTTCAAATTCAAAAATTGACATTATTGACGCTAAAAAGTTATACAATTCAATAAAACTATGTAAACAAAAAACAATAATTGATGATAGAGATGTACGCGAAAAGGATCAAGAAGAGCAAACAAAATTCAAGAAAGAAGAATAAATGATTATGATAAAGAAAGAGAAGAAGAAGAACCAACATTCTGTCAAGATAAAGGATACAGGACAGGCTCTAGCGCAGGGAAACCAATGTGTGATTATTATGAAAATTGTAATGTACGGAAAATATGATTACGGTCAAAGTTGGTCTGGTCATTTAAACAAATACTCTGAGGATTATTGATGCATTTTTGAATTTCTAAAATCTCAAGAAGGTTAAGCCGTGGACCTTTGTTGCAAACATGTATAATATCCATATTAGAATTAACATTAAAACTATGGTTTGAATCAATGATATGGTTGGCAAAAGAAGATGTGGTATTGTGATTTTCTGAGTTCAGATATTTGTGGATAAGTCTATTGTGTTCAGAGGCCCGAATCTCAAAACTCCTACCTGTCTGACCAATGTAGGATGCATTACAATCATTGCAATTGAGTCTGTAAACACCAGATTTCTTTACAAGCGGAATTTTATCTTTGGAGTTAAATAATAAATGTTTCAAATTAGAAGAAGTTTTGTAAGAAATAGAAATGTTAAGGGATTTGAACATTTTTGCTAGTTGAATGGAATAATGGCCAAAATAGTGTAATGATTTATATAAGGGAGGGTCAGCGACTTGACTGGATGTGACATTAAATGTTAATCTATGTTTAGTGTAAAATTTGAAATATAACTTCATGATCAAATCAAGTGGGAAATGGTTATTCAAGGCAATCTGTTTGATAATATTGATCTCTTTATCAAAGGCTGTTTGAGAAAGAGGTAATGAAAAAGTTCTGTGGAAAAAACAATTGAAGGATGCCATTTTTTGTGAAAAAGGATGATTGGAATTAAATGGTATGACTGAATCTGTGGCTGTTGGTTTCCTGTAAATTTCAAAATCAAACCTATGAGTATGTGAATTTTTTATAATTAATAAATCCAAAAAGGGCAAAGAATTATCAATTTCTGATTCCATAGTAAATGTGATATTAGGATGCAGTGTGTTAATGTAATTTAGGAAATTGAGAACAACCCTAATGTCGCCTTCAAAAAGTAATAAGCAATCGTCAACATATCTATAATAAAATACTAAGTTTGAATTGTAATTAGGATTATTTAAAAATTGCTTCTCGAAGTTGT